GCGCAGAGAGTGACGTTTAAAACGAGAAAAGAAAAGCTGCGTGTTAAATGGAACTAAGAAGTATGTTAACGATTTAAAAATGTTTCCTAGCTCTGTTCACTGGGGGTCTAGGGGCAGTACGACCCGCTCCCCAGGAGAACGTCCTCCTCTCTCCCTTTTGGTCTCTTAACTCTCTCCTCTCACAGGGACAGGGCCCCCTGGGGAGAAAACCACCCGAGCCCCTCCTGGGTCGGGAAAAGGACGCGCTGGTCCGGCACGGCTGGGTCCGGAGCCAAGCGGACGCCCCACGACGGGCAGCGCCGGGCCCACGGGACACAGCCGCCAGCTCCGGGCTCTCCCCCACCCCAGTGTCCGACGGTGTAAGCATCACAAAAATAATGATATTCAAACATCAAGTGCAGAAAACTTCCTGAGTCCATACGATACTCACAGGAAGAGGAGTCCAACAAACAAAAACGTACCGTTTCCCATTAAGAGGACTTTCAGCCACATCTTTCTCTTAAAAATCAATAAATGAGGGGAAATCGTGTGTATTTTTCTTCTTTGTAATAGGAATTACAGTTTCGGAAAACTGAGTAAGTCCAGTGGAGGACAGAAAGCCCTGGGTTGGTTTTTTTTTTAATGCATAATACAGGGTCAGGGAATGGCAGAACGAGGAAATTTCCAGTTCGCAAGTCCCAACCGAGGCATTGATTCAGGCAGTGACCGCGATGGGAAGTAACACCAAAGCAGTTTCTAGCTGGGGGACCCCTTCCCCGGGAAACCGAATCCTTTATTACATCCAAGCCCCAGGACAGGGATGAGCCCCGCTCGGCGCACCGGCCGCCGCCTCTGCAGCCGGGGCCTCCCCCAAGGGCTCTCCTGTTACTGACAGGACTCGGTGCCTTGCGGGCGGAGGACCCAAGTTCCTGCGTCCCCGCGGCCTGTCCGCCGGGCACTCTCAGCCCCCGGAGACTCCTCCCAGTGCCTGTGTGTGAACAATAATGGGTTCCGTTTGGGGCGCGCTGAGTTGGAGAGGACGACACCCCAGTGGATGATAAAAACTGCAAAATTATTAGTGAACGCAGGAGCTCTCAACCAGACGGGATGTGGTCCCAGGGAAACAGTTGTCAACATCCAAAGACTCTTCTGGTTGTCGCAACAGAGGGGCATCGCTGGCAGCTGGGGGGCAGAGACCAGGGACACTGGTGATACCCCACAGCGCCAAGGATGCCCAAGAATCACCCAGGCCAACGCGTCCGTCCTGCCGAGGCTGAGATCCCCGAGCTAAAGCCACAGCCACGAGAAGACCAGCAGCAGGGCCCCGGGGGCAGGTGGCTGAGCCCCGGGCCGAGAGGAGGCTGGGAAGAGAACAGAGGCACAGAGCAAGTAGAGAATGGGGGTTCCTTCGGGAAGGCGTCAGGAGCTCCTGAGAGTCAAGCAAAACGAGGAATCAACGTGATTCGAAGCTTTGGAGTGATAGGAGCCCTTGGATGCTGCGCCTGGGTCATTTTCGGGGAGTCCTCCGGGGCTGAGCAAGGACTGCGGTCCCCAGAGGGAGGACAGCGCACCCCTTCCCAAAGCTGGACACCAGGGAGAAGCAGAGAGAGGGGGCAACATTGGGAAAGGGGTCCGTCAGGATGGAGAGAACTGAGATCTGGAGATGCTGACGGGGCAGAGTGGGGGGTGGGCGGTCGGTGGCTAGAAATGTGTGGGTGCCAGAGCCTGGGAGCCCAGCGACTCTTGTCTGGGGCGCACCAGGCAGTGCCCCCTACATGTGCAGCTCGGGTGGCCGTCCCGTGCGACGCAGGAGAGGGGCTGGCTGAAGGAAGCAGGGACACCCTCTCTGGTCCCACAGGGACCAGCGGGAAGGCAGGCGGGCTTGGAAGTTGGTGCCGGCGGGACGGGGAGAGCTGTCGCCGTGGAGGCGGAGGGTCACTTTTGAGAACAAAGAAGGAGAGGCATGTGAAGGACAGGGCCTGCACTGCTTAGGGAGGCGCAGTGGCAAGGTGGGCAGGCCCAGCCCGGGGGAGCTGGGTTCTCTGGTGGCGCTTCCCCTTCTTTTTCCCTCCCGGAGGTTCGGGGCGCTTTTTTGTTTCCTCTTGGAGAAACTCCCACCAGAGATCCACCCAAGGCTAAGTGTTAACACGCTCTCTCCCGGCAGTGACTGCCCTCCATCCGCGCACGCGCACGCCCTGAGTCCCCTCCGCGGGGAGGGAAGGCGGCGCTCACAGCAGAGACGGAGGAGGGACCGCGGGCTCCACATGGTTAAAATGTGGACAGACCTGCGCAGCCCGGATTGTGACAGTTTTTATGAAGTAAAATTGAGGGCGATTACAGGCAGGGTCGTCTGACTTTCTTAGAGGTTCTGAGCCACACGTGTTGCAGTATTAACAGCGAGAAGGGCTATTAAAATTGAAGGAGATTTGGAAAGACCTGTCATCTTTTTTCACCCCTTTACATTGCACGAGGTGACCCGAGCTGTTCTTTAAAATTCAACATCCCTGGTTTATTACCACGGCAGTGCAGTTAACGGTCGGTACAGTCAACTCTGTCTCCAAGTCACTGCGTCTTGCCACCCAGCGAACTGCCTTCCCCCCGCCCAGGCCTTGACAAGGGGACCCCGGCGGGGCAGCAGGCTCCTCCAGCACCCCCGGCAGGTGCCCTCCGGCGGGCCAGAGGGTGGTCCTCGTGGGTTCAGCCTGCAGGCGAGCCCCCCTGCCTGGCCACACGGCCGGCTCCTCTCTTTCTCTGCTGTCCCTGTCATTCGGGTCGAGGCAGGGCTGTGCGGCTGCGGTGACCGTCCATCCTCGCAGAGCCTGTTTCTGGCCTGCTCACCGGTGGTCACAAAATGTCCCGCAAAACGTCAGGCGTGGCGCCTGCTGGACTCCCCACATGCCAAGTGCCGCTCCCACGAGGGAGGGAGGGGCATGCGGACATGCGTGGGCGCCCGGCGTGCCTGTCACATGTGCAAACACATCCGAGTCAAGCTTGCAACCACATCTGCCGGGGAAGGGCCGCTCCCCAACGTCTGGTCCCATCTCCAGAGACACCGCTGTGCGCTTACAAGTGCGAGGACATGTTGATCATCCCCACCCTGGGAGGCAGGCGGCCCGGGCAGCTGCTTGTGATAGAAAAGGTGGGGAGGGCACCCAAAAAAGGGAAAACGGAGAAAGGAAGGAAGGAAGGGGGACGGGGAGGGGAGGGGAGGGGGTAGGAAAGGAAAGGAAAGAGAGGAGGAAGGAAGGGAGGAAGGAAGGAAGGGGAGAGAGAGAAAAGGAAAACACAGGGAGTGTTCCTCATCCTGAGCAGTCCCGTTCCCCGTGGCGCGCCCCCCCCCCCCCCCCCCCCCGACCCCCCCCCCCCCCCCCCGCCGTTCCCCACACTGTCCCTGCACTCAGGGTCTCAGGGGAGGGGGCTTCTGAGAGGCCCTGGCACCCCGCTGCTGTCCTCCTTTGACACCAGTGAGAAATCCCTGGGGGAGGGGAAGGTGCGGCTGAAGGACGACCCCCAGGAGCCGGCCCAGGCGCCGCTTCCCTGCAGAAGGCCACCGCTTCCTGAACAGTCGTTCCCTCCAGGGAGGGAGGCCACGGTCACAACAGAGGGACTCTCCCTTCTGCCTCGAGGTAAATTGCTCCACAAATTGGCCGTTTTACATAACATTGGACGTTAGGGCCTGAGAGGCCTAGGGCTGCAGGCGCTCAGCCGCCCCTTCATTCCGGAGCGGAGCGGACCGCATTCCGGCCGATCCTGAGCCCCAACCCACCGGCCCCTCCCCCTCCCCGACGCCGGGAGCGCAGGGCCGCGGGGCATGGACCTTCGGCTTTTTCAAAGGAACTGAGATGCATTCTGAGGACCCACCGCACCAAGAAATGTTGAGGAGGGCCCGGGGCGAGACTGATTTCGACCAGATAGCCGCTGAAGTCGCGGGCGGACGTTGTTATCCCTGAACCTTGATTATCCAGCGAGGGGAGTTTCCATTCTCTGTGTGAGGGCGAGGGATCTGATCCGGAGCCGGGGGCCTGCGCTCTTCCTGCGCCCCCGGCCTTACAGCGTCTCGGCCCGGCCGGGGCTGCCTGCCCAGGGCCCACAGCGGGGAAGCCGGGAGCCAGGGGTGGGGGCGGGGGTTGAGGCCCGGAGAGAGGCTTTGGGGAGCCGGGGGGCGAGGGGATAGCCGGGGAGACCCGGCGCGGTGGACGTTGCCCCGCGCACTCTGCAGAGACGTCTTTTGCGTAAAACTCGGCAGAGGGTGTGGCCACCGCTGCCCCCCACCCCACCCCCCGCCCCCCGGGCCCGGGGCCACCCTGCAAACAAGCCAGGTGGGTCCCTGGCTCCCGGGCTTCGGAGACGCAAAGGTTTCGACAGCGGGGGCGCCCGGAGCTTCCAGCGGCTCGGCCCTCCCAGGGCCCTGGTCCGCCTTGGTGCGGTTATCACCGGGGACTCCTCTAGACTCCCGTGCCACGGTCCGCACCAGCCAGGTTCGGCCTTGCGCCCCTGCGTCCTCCCTCGCGCTGTTCCTCCGGGTCAGCCCCGCGACACACCCGCGGGCGACATCGCGACTCCGTGCCCAGCATCGCGGCCGTCCGGGGCGAGCGAGATTCTGCAGGGGGGTCCCCCTTGGGGGAGCAAGGGAGCCGCACGTTGGACTTCGGGAGACGTGGTACCTGCCCGAGGATCTGGGGCAACAGGGGCTGCGGGGTTGAGGAGGCCAGGGTGCCCGCGGGGAAGGCAGAGAACATGGCCCGCGGCACAGGAGGGACCGGTTGCGGGAGTTCTGGGGCGGCCAGAAGCACGTTAGGACCCGGGCGGGGCGGAAAGATGACCCCGGGGCGGGGCGGGGACGGAGACGTCACTCTCCCAACGCTAGGGTGGGAGGAGGCTCTTACCGGCCCTCACCTGGGGCTGGACCCGACGGCTTTTAAAGGGCAGCCGGCGGGGCCCGGCGGGCAGCACTGGGAGCCGCTGGCAGCGGAGGTGGATGGAGCGCCCATAAGCTTCGGGGCAGAGGCACCGGTCAGGTCCTTGCACGGCGGGCCATGGCCACGTACTGCGACGGCTCGGGTGTCTGCCCGGCCCCGCACAGCCAGGCCCGGGCAGCGTCGCACCCCACCGGCTACGGGCGTGGGGACCTGGACGCGGCGGGCGGTGGACCGCGCCTGTGGCTGAACGCGCCGGGGCTCAGCCCCGCGCCCTACGTGCCGGGCCCTGGGCCATCGCCCCCCTACGCTCCCCCTGGCTACGGGGCCCCAGGCCCGCTCCTTGGCTCTGCGGGCGGCCTGGCGGGCGCTGACCTGGCCTGGCTGAGCCTCTCGGGCCAGCAGGAGCTGCTGAGACTCGTGCGCCCCCCCTACTCGTACTCGGCGCTCATCGCCATGGCCATCCAGAGCGCGCCGCTGCGCAAGTTGACGCTCAGCCAGATCTACCAGTACGTGGCCGGCAACTTCCCCTTCTACAAGCGCAGCAAGGCCGGCTGGCAGAACTCCATCCGCCACAACCTGTCGCTCAACGACTGCTTCAAGAAGGTGCCCCGCGACGAGGACGATCCAGGTAATGCGGGCGCACGAATCTCCGCGTCGCCACTCCACTCCGCGGATTTCCGCCTCCGGGCTGCTCGTCGGGAGCGGGGGCGGGGGAGGGATAGGTACGGCCGTGGACCGCCAGCCCTCGCTGGTACAGCTGGGGGCACTGAGGCAGGGAGGGGAGGGAAGGGAAAGGGAGACTTTCTTGGCTGTGGAGGGGGCTCGCTTAGAAAGCAGCAGAACCCGCAGGCCCAGCCTTCAGGTTCGGTCCTCTGTGCGTCTCTAAACGTCTGCTCGCTGTCGAGAGCGGGTCGGCTGCGAGCTTCGGGAGTGACTTCTCTGGGCCTCGGGGTCTTTTCTGTAAAAGGAGGCAAACGATGCCTCCCCGAAGGACTGGTAGGACAAAGAAAGTGCCGCTTTGGGAAGCGAGACCAAATTCTTCCCAGCCTGGCTGTCCGTGGAGGCCCCTGCGTTCCAGGACCAATTGCCACCCCGAGGTTCGGGGAGGGTGAGGCCTCAGGGTCAGGCCGGAGGGGACTCTTTCTTAAGTTGACCCGCATTTCTCACGTTCCCACCGTGGCCCCTCAAACCCCGGACTTTCTGGGCTGGGCCCTTCCTTCCTCCACAGGCAAAGGCAATTACTGGACCCTGGACCCAAACTGCGAGAAGATGTTCGACAACGGGAACTTTCGGAGGAAGAGGAAGAGGAGAGGGGCAGCGAGCGCGGCCGCACTCTCCGGAGCCCGCAGCCCGGGCCGAGCCCTGGCCCCGGAGCTGGACACCCTGGGCACCGCGTCCCCGGACCTGCAGGCCTCCCCGTCCCCGCCCGCGCCCGAGGCTGCCTCCTGCTTCGCCAGTTTCGCCTCAGCCATGGGCGCCCTGGCCGGTGGCCTTGGCGCCTTCCCCGGGGGGCTGGCAGGCGAATTTTCTTTCGGGAGACCAGCGACGGTCACTGCTAACAGCCCCCAGTCCCCCGGCCCTTCGCCTGGCTTCCCCTCTGGCCATCAGACTGTGGCCACCGGCTTCCGTGTGGGTCACTTCGTCTACAGTCCGGAAGGCACCGAAGTTTGAAGGGAGCCCACGGCTTGTCCCGGCTGCCCTCTCCAGAGGTGCTGAGCTGAATGAAGCAGCTGTGTTTGCCTGGTGACGCCCCGTGTGCTGACACACAGGGGTCAGGGCTGGGAGGGACCAGGGACTGCAGAGCCCCCGTGGGGACTGAGCTGAGGTGGCCCCGCCCTGGCCTGCTCCTCACCCAGGAGACCGTTCAGGTGGGGCAAATGGACTCCTCCCGCTGGCTCCTCCAGCCTGGGACCCCTGCTCTCCCAGGGCGGGAGGTGGGGTGAGGGTCCGCCATAAAGGGAGCAGAGCTGGCTCTCAGCCCCAGCTTTTTGAGGGGAGCTGGGGGTCCCAGAGCCCTCTTCTTCATGCCCGGACCCCACCTGCAGCCATTCCTTCCTCCTGCGGCCCGGCCACCCCGTGGCCGCCCTCCCTCCCCACCGGCCTGGGAGGTGCAACCAGGGGGACCTGGGCCGGTTTCAGGGGGACTTCCTAATAGCCGGGACTGCCCACAGGGAAGGGGACAGGGCTGCCAGGCACAGTGAGCCCTGGGGATCCCAGCCCTTCCCTGTCACTCAGCCCTGGATTCATGGACCCTGTCCCTCAGGCCCCTCTGGGGACCATGGGAGCAGTGCCCAGCTCCCCAGAGTCCCGGGATGGGCCCCGGTTTGTGCCCCCCCCCGCCCCTCCTGGGCTCATACGTGCTCACGGGAGGTAGGCCAGAGGCCACCCTTGCCTCCCTCTCTCCTCTCCGGCCCTTCGTCCTGCAGGGTCCACAGAGCCGGCCCCTGCAGCAGAGCTGAGCTGCAGCCTCCTGTGTGAACTTAAGCTCCAGTTTGTATTTACCGGAAGTTTATCTCGGGAGGAGCGTCTAGAAGGCGGCATTCTGTTTGACCTCAGTACTCCCGAGTTTCTAGTAGCTGTTTCCCCCCCCCCCCTTCCCATGCACACTCCAGCCTCCCCATCATTTTGGGGCCTGCTGGAGCTGGGGCACGTGGCAGGCGTGCTCCCCTTCCCTGCGCTGGACGGGGAGGGGGGCTTTCTCTAGAAGAAAGGGGGAGGCGCTGTGAACCTGGAGGAGGCGGGGCCTCAGGGAGCCTGAGCTGGTGGACAGTAAGGGGGGGGGGGTGCTGGGCAGCAGGGAAGGTTGGGCCTGCATGGAACAGTCAAGTTCTGGGGTGAGCCTAACCCCAGGTCCCATTGCGCTGCTTCCCTGGGGCACCCAGAAAGTTGCTGACTCTCAGCACCTCGCCTCGCTGGTGGCTGCAGGCTGCCTGGCCAGCCTTACAACCAGCCCCAAATCTCTTCTGGGGGAAACGCTTCCCAAATGTCATATCATTAGTGAAGGTCAGCCAAAGAAAAGAAAGTCTCTACCTTATAAATAAAAGACTGTTACTTGGAGCCTATTTTAATAAACTAAAGTGCTACAAAGAAACACCAGTGCCTGTGGCTTGGATGTGCCTGCCGTTTCACGTTAGAACCCCCGCCCCGTCTTCCCAGCCTCCCCAGTTTAGGCTCTGCGCTCGCGGGAAACTGGGAGAGAAATAAGTTTTTTAAATTAGTGTGGCAATATTGGAAAAATACGATGTACAATTTGTGCACAGAACCTTCAGAAAACGGGCTGACAGATACGTATGTGAACATTTGGTATCAGAGCCGCGTGACTGCTTGAGGCTGGGGTGAGGGGTGTTTTCCGTGTTCCAGCAATGGATTTTCTGTTAAAATAGAGGGGATACAAACTTTCCCAACAAATTTCCAAACTTTTTCACTAAAAATCCTTTTTTGTGGTTTAAAAATTGTTCATCCATTGAAGCTTTCTACCATTAGCAGTGTAACCAAACCCACCCTGGCCGAGCGACGTGCGGGTTCAGGGAGCTCCCGCAGGGCAGGGCATGCGCAACTCAGGATCTGTCCCTCTCCAGGGCAGTCCGTGTGTCTGGATGTGTTTTCACGTGACGGAGGGGGGACCTGGCACAGCCACCTTTAGAGCCACTTCTCATTGTCCCAAAGAAATATTTTCCCAGAGCAAAGATGTGCTACAATCAAAGTAATAAGTAGAGCAAAACAGGTTGTAAAAAGAATCCCAGTCAATACTTCCTCCCGGCAGGGACCCCGAGAACTGGACGGTGGCGTCGGAGGCTGGTGGTGCTTGCGGGCACGTGAAGGGCCCGCCCCTGTGGAGACACACCCATCGCCAGGCTCCTCGCCGGGCCTTGCAGCCCCTTCGCGGTGCCCGTGAAGCCCCTCCTTCTCCACCTCTCTGTCCCCGTCTTGTATTTGCAATTGTGAAGCCATAGAAAGTTCCAACTCGTTTTTAAAATACGCATAAGCCTGTACAAACAAGTGCCTCATCAGGATGCCACGGGCATAGGGTGGTTCGGTGTTGGAATAACCCGTTCTCGATCCAAATAAACGCTTCAGTGGTGCCAAAAAGTTCCAAACGTGGAAACGAGACATTCCCAACGGTGGAGGGGGAGGGCATCAGAGTTACCAGAATGCTAGGTCATTGGGGTCTCTGTGGCCAAACAGTGGTGGGGCTTTTCAAGTGACTGAAGATCGAACAGCATAATAATAGAATGAGTTATAATCTCCCCTGGAAACACGCTAGTCCTTGGGAGAAGGGGAACCCAATGCAACGACAAAATATTCGTGACGAAGACTCCAAATTTGTTGAAAGTATCTTTAAAAGTGTAGTGACTAGTGTTCTAAAAAGCACTGGGTTACAAGATATGAGTTTACATTTCACATGTGGTTCATCTAGCATGTTTATTTAGGATGAACATAAGTTTCGCATTTTAGCAATGCTGCCTGGGGATATTAATGTGTAACTTTAAATCTAATTTCCTAAGTGTATCCATCACAATCAATTGGTATTTTTCATCCAGGGAAATAACATTACAGTGATTATGATTACCCTTCAGCGAAACAGGAAACTGGAATCCATTGTTAGTTTGCGAGTGGGAAGGCTGAGTCAAAGGACAACACAGCCTCCGGAAGTTCCTCCAATGAGAGCTGGCGCGGACTCCAGGGAGCCACGCCACCTTCCACAGCTCGGACTCCGAAACACACCTTCACACGCAACGAAGAACACACGCGTCGTAGCGCCCTGACTTGGCCAAGAGGCTCAAGAGAGAGGCGACCACAACACCTACCTCCATGTGCAAAGGTGTAGTGTTTTCAAATAGCACATGAGAATATCACACCTGCATTCAGGATGTGACTTCAGAAGGAGAGGAACGTGCGCACGTCACAGGTACAGTAGGCGTGAGTCCTGCATGTCCTGATACAATGCGGGGCTCTCGCCCGGTCTTCCCGGGGCCAGCTGGGCCCTGGGCTTTGCGCTAAGCCTGCAGCGATCGGCCTGCGCCTGCCGCTGCCCTCGCGAGCCTCCCGCTGGGGCGAGACAGAGGAGGGCCCCGTCAGCCTGGGCTGCGGCTGCGTGGCTCCTCGAGGATGACAGCGTGATCAAAGCAATCGAGCCATCTCTCTCCTCGACACGGGGGCTGCACCGGGTCTGTGAATGCGCCTCACCTGCTGCCAGCTCGGCCTTCTCAGTTGTGTCCCTTCGCTGTGACCGAGGCCAGGAGCCGCGCGCTGCCCAGGGCCCGGCCGTGTCCGGTGTGCTCCCTTCTCCACAGCCCCGTGCAGGGCCCTCCCACAAAGCCTGTCCTCTTAGAAGGCCCGGCGTCTGAGAGTGACAGGAGGGGGCCCCTCCCTCCCCGCAGCTCCCGGGTCCAGGCGCCTTTGGCGCGTCCCTGCATCTATTAGTTGGTATTTGGGGAACTCCTTTCCTTTTAACCCAATATAAAATTTGCTCAACAATCTTCCTCAAGGCTAATTGCTTGGCACCGGCAATAAAATGACTCTGACCAGCTATCACCAGCAGCTGAACACAAAGAACGGGAAACATTTTTTGGTTTTACTCAGTTCGTGAAGGGTAAATGCGTACTAGATGGAGTAAGAATTTCATTAAAAAAAACCACAACAAAACAAAACACCAAAAAGCCACCAGAATTGTCCCCACGCTTTAATATAGAGCGAACGGGAATGATGGGTCGCTGAGGCGTTGTCCGCCACCAGAAATCACGCACTCGCCCAACAGACACCGACTGGACGCCCGGGCGGCAAGGGGTCTGCCGCTGCTCAGCAGATGTCGCCTCCTTAAGCCCTCGCGACCACCCGCTGAGGCAGGTGTTCTCCCCATTTTACTGATGCAGAAACAGAGACTCCAAGTGACTGACTTATCTGCCCAAAGCCACAGGTGACCCAGAGCTGTGTCAGCAGGAACCCACCCACCCCGGCCCTGACGTCCCTGCCTCCCCGTCACCCTCCGGGTCTTAGGCCTCTCTGTTCAGGAGCCTACCCCCGACACCCGGAGGCAAAGCCGGTGCCCCTCCGCCCTGCCCCTGCAGCCGCTGGGCGGAGCGTGTCACGCCCCCAGAAGCTGCGGCTTCTGTGGGGAGCCCCCGCCTGCCTCATTTCACGGCACCATCCCCGGTGTAGGCACCTGAAGGAACCGGTGGATGGAGGAGTAGTTACGCGCTGAGTTTGTCCCACTCTCTCCCTCCCATCATAGGCCCCCCTGAAGGCCCCCAGTCTCCTGGGATGGGCCCGCTGTCTCCTCACAGGGGGCCAGGCCTTCTGCTGGACCCTCCAGATGCAAAAATGAACGGGACAGAGCGCTGGGGACAGCCGTCGGTGTGCAGAGGGCCCGAGCTGCAGGGCTGTGCGCAGAGGCGGCGCGGGGCTGGGGGAGAGGACGCTTCAGAGGAGAGGTGGGCGATGCGGCCAGTCAGGCGCCTCGTTCCCTCCCTCGGAAAAGGAGAGCAATGGCAAGGACAGGAAGGACGTCCCAGGCAGCCTAGGCTGACACCTTGGCGAGAGGGGAGCTGTGCACACCTGCATCTCAGGCCGGCGGCCTACGGGCCCATGGGGCCGGCACGCGCCAGGCCCTCGGGGTGAGCGAGACCCATCACCCAGGCCCAGCTTCGCTCGCGCGACGGCGGAGGCAGAGA